AATGAGAGAGTTTCTGGGTTCAAGTGAAAGTGATTGTTCGAATCCGTTTTATTGTTGAACTGGATGCGAATAGAAGAGCAGAGCTTTAAGGCCCATGGAACAGATGTTGGAAGCATGCGGCCGACAGGCGTCGGGATAGAGATTGTGAGTTGGCTTTACAAGCAGTTTTACATGATAGGTTATGGTTGGAAATATGACATTTACTATTGCATGGAAACGTCCGTCTTGCGTATAAGTAACCTGGAGAAGGGCCATTAGGCCGAATTTTGACAAGTGAAAGTTGGAACTAGGAGTATTCTTTGGAGTAATTTTTCAACTTCGAAAATGTTCCAAGATCTCTGTCTGGACATACACTACCCGTCATTAGTATGAGCTCGCATAGATAATTATTTCAACATTCATTTAAATATTGCATCACCGTGAACAGTTTAGCATCACTCAATGGAAATGTGTCAAAGTGCTTGGAATTACTTCAGAAAACACTTATTTGAAATGAGTCAGTGTTTTCTGAAGTAATTTGACTAATTTTCATTGACTGTTTTTCATCACTTCGGAAAGTAATCAACCACTTTAGGAAAGGTTTGAATCATATCAAAAAAGCTCGAAATCACTTCGGAAGCACTGAACCACTTGAGAATATTTCGGAATCATTTAGAAAGGTACTGAATCGCTTCATTGCAGTTTGGAGTCACTTCGGAAAGTACTGAATCACTTAAGAAAACAGTTCGAAGTCTGATAGTTTCTGATGTGATTCTACACTTTCGGAAGTGATTTTGAACATTTCTGAAGTGATTCCGAATTTTTCATAAGCAATTCAGCGCTTCCTAAAGTGATTCTGAACATATCTGGAATGATTAAGTTCTTTTAGAAGTGATTCCAATTCAGTACTTTCCAATGTGATTTCAAAGATTTCTGAAGTGAATTAGTACTTTTCCAAGTACCAATAACGCAAGTTTTATCTTCCTCAAGCGTATTCAGCACGTTTGTCAGCTTTTTCAACATGTTTAGGTGATGCAAAACTTTTTGGGGGGTGATGCAATGTTCAAATGAGTGTTGCAATACTTTTCTATGCGAGTCCATGTATGAAAAAAATTATATGCGTTTAGAAATCCTCATCTTTGAAAAATATCAAAATCGCAATTAAAAAAAAGAGAATTTCTAAGTCTGTATCTTTGAATAATTCAAACAATCTCATCCCAAGTAACATCGCAAGTTTTATCACGGTTTTAAAGCATGCTTCAAGTCTAAATCATAGTCTGCAGAACTCTCATAAAACCCCAATTGCTACTTGGGATTCTAAGGTAATCAATATTAGATTCACACTAATTTTTTGCAGCAAATTTTCAAGCAGCTCAACTGTAATATATATTTTAATAATTTAATTATTTCATTTTGAATAAATTACTAAATTACTTACAAGAAATAGTCCCCTCTAATCCCTCGTGCTCCGACGCTGGTTATGCTGCTGGCAATTAATTTTACTTGTTTACGGAACTATTCTGGTGGTGTCTTCCACTGCTGGCTGGTAATCATCCGATTTAGAAATTTAACCGGAATTATTAGCACTAAACTAATAAACTACCACCTCCACAGAAAACTGATTCAACTTTAAATTATATATAATTTTCCAATTTTGTTAATAAACTGAACTTCTCCTTGGGTTTGTTTGTGTTTTTTTCCTAATTCCTAACTTCTGGAGTGATTTGAAATTTGGGCGTAATTGCATTTGTAAACAAATACGTCAGTCGTCGATTTCTCGCGAATAAAATCTCAATTTCGAAAACTAACAACACTATGAGGTAGAGGAATGATTCCTCTATCATTTGGTATAGTTAGTTTACGAGATTGAGCTTTTATTGACGAGAAATCGGCGATTTACGTGTTTGTTTACAAAAGCAATTACGCCCGAATCTCAAATCACTCCGGACTTCTCCACGAATCGACGTAAACATTCAACGACGGTCCTACCACTGTGGACCGGCGCGCATACATCTCGCTTATCACATCTCACTTCACGGCAGGCCGGTCTCCGGTACCCGTTCATCAGTAGTTCCGGATTTACCATCAAGAACTTCCAGCACTGCAAGGTTGGCTACTCCGCACCGGAATACGCCTTTGCTTATCCATACGTCCGGTTGCCTAACTCTGCCATCTGATCCTACCAGCAGCAACTTACGCCAGCGCCATGTCACTTCTACGTCGATCACGGGTTCTGGAAACTCCTTCACTTCATGGTGCAGCAGGTACGCTTTCATTTCCTGCTCAGTGTTTGCATCCGGCAACCTCCAGCAATCTTCTGTTTGGTACAGGAAATTTGGACCATTAAACCACTCTCCTTCTGGATCTAATGGAGGACCTTGTCCCCACTTCGTTAGTGCAGCAGCTACGTTCAGCCGAGATCTGATCCATCGCCAATCCGTTGAGCTGATTGCCTCCAAAATTTCACCAACCCTGAATGCAACGAACTGCTTATATTTTCGTTGGTCCGACCGCAACCAACTCATAACTGTTTGCGAATCCGTCCAAAGAAAACAACTGTTTGTTGGATTTGATCGTGCGCCGAGACCGAGACATCACCAAGGAGCATTTAATTTCACCGCCTACCATAGCACGAAAGTACGCTAGGCTTCCGTCTAGATGTGCAGCTCAAGCCTGTCGATTTCGGATGACCGCGTCTGGCCAACCCTCTCCACTAACGGCAATAGCTCCGTCCATTGCTTGCACTTGACCAAGCATGCATCGTCAACTTTTTGATCCCACTCGCAGCCCGTTCGCCAAAGTCCTGAACCAAGATCTTTCCATGTACGGTGAAGCATGAGAGCAGTCCCAACGGATCGAAGAACCCCATGACACAACTCAGTACAACGCGCTTCGTTGGTGTCTTATGACCCTGCAGATACTCTTGCAGATCTTCGCGATGTTCAGTCGAGAGTTGCCAGTTTGGAATCCAAGATCCAAGATTGTGCGAACCGTAGAAAAATATGAAGGTCATAGAGTAGTTCCACGCCAAATGATGAATCGATCAGACGCGACCTTCTTCGATTTGCGTTGAAATTTGTAGAATTGTTTGTTATGGGTAAATCATTCACATATGAGCTAAAATTCCGCCATTTTGAATCTCACAAAAAAACTTGCTGTTTTATTCAAAATGGCGTATTCTAAAAAAAACCATAACCAACAATGTGTAAACCACCTGCCTGAACTGTTTAGTAAAACTTACTGCAGGTCCCATTCTACCCGAAATGACTCGTAATCGACGCAATTAGAAACCGCAGACCGCAATCAGCGCGTACTTATCGTTAAAAGTCATCACACGCACGCAGCACTAAATACAGCATGTTTACACTGCTGGCCTCCGGCTGATCGCCACTGGGTGGCGGCAGCCATTAAAACCCGTCGAAAATGCAGTGTACCCTTAATACCTGAGTCCAGGTCTAGAAAACTGCTGCCCTTTGCCTAATTTGTATGTGCGCCGTACGCCGGCCGCGGAGCACGCTGATGTTGTTTTATTACTTCCTTGGACGCCCCTTTCGCCTATACACCCTACAACTTGCCTTCAAGCTTCAAATATGCATTCCGTTGCCCCTAAGTCGCACCATCCTTCGAAACGGATCCAATCAAGTCTATTAGTTACGTAAAATCTGACGTTGAGATGAGTTTGGTGGAAGGCCGCTGCGCCCCGGAGAGAGGAGATTGTGCGACGACTGACGTGGGAATTTTCGTTTCCCATCGCCCCGAAACACTCTATTGAGAAATCCAACTTAAACTCATATGCACCTGGTGGCAGGAATAAGCCCTAACCGACGGTGATAAGTCTGTGACAGCCCTTGAAAATTTCATTGATTGTTTGCAAAATTATTTAATTTCAAAGTAATTTCATGAAAATTTCTTGTCAGCATGGATGAATCTTGTACAAAATGCATAAAACTATTTTGTAATGCATTGTTCTTAAATAAAAAGCTACTTCAAGACTTATAAATTACTGAAAACATGTTAAGGTTTGAAATCATCTGCCGATTAAACAACAGACAAAGTTAACCGACTAAATCAATCGACGAAAAACTATTAAATAGGCCGATTGCTCGGTGTAGCACGAGACGAAAAACGATTTAATCTGCTGATTAATACACGGACTGAAATTAATTTTTAAATGGCAATAGATTTAGTCGGTGTATGAATCGGGTGATCTGGATGATGTTTGTTTATTTGGAAGATATTTTCGAAACAAAGCACGATAAAATTCAGAATTATATACCATCATTACGAGTACTACTTTTTTGCTCAGATCATGTTTTGACTCCCACAGAAACTCGCTAGAATAAATACAAAATAATAGTTTTTTGGTTGAAATTTCAAAAATGTATTCAGTTTGACACATTATTTCGGACTTATCACCGCTGCGATTGCAGCGCCATGGTGGCCGATTGAAACTTGGATTTGTCAATAGGCTTGAGACTTCTTTATATAGTCGTAATTAGAATTCGAAGAAACACAGACAAAAACAAACACGACTCGGCGGGGCCCGGTGGTGGTGGCGGCCAGCAAATGGAAGCAAAATGAAAACAATGAAAAGAATGGAATTATAGTAGCTAAACGCATAATTAGATTAAGAATCAATTAAATTCATCTTTCTCGCCGGGCCTGCCTGCCTGGCACACGGACAGCTGTTTCTCATTCAATAGAAGCCCCTATAGAGATAAAGAAATGCGGTTAAGTCGACGTTTTATTGGCGTTTTGCTCTGCTCCTTTTCTAAACTCCTCCCACCCCCCGGAATAGAGGAAAAAAAAATCGAATATAGGCAGTCCCGTGAGATTTTTGTAGCATGATTTGGGATTAATTCCTAGGCTGGGGATAAACGCCCGATTGTTATCGATGACAGATCAGTTTTGAGCTTTGATTAATAGCGTTATAACCGCTTCCAGCTATCAGTAATACCCATCACGCATCCGGTTGAATGACACCGCAACTAATCCGATTATACTTTTTTGCTTCTCCGCAGATTGACACAAACAAGGACGGTTTCATCGAGCTGAAGGAGCTTAAGGATGCCCTCGATCAGGTCGGATTCAAACTGGCCGGCTACCAGGTCCGGTTGATGATCGACGAATACAGCAACAAGCAACGCTCTCAGCATGTAGGCAAACTGTCCTACGATGAATTCGAAGCCCTCTGCATGGACCTTAAGGCAAAGGACGTGGCCAGCACGTTCAAAACGGCCGTATCGAAAAAGGAAAACCTGGAAACCCTGGGTGGTATGTCGGATTCGTCCGCCGCCGGGACGACACATTCGGTGCGATTCGAAGAACAGTTGGCCTTCAGCGATTGGATCAACTCCAATCTGGGCTACGATCTTGACCTGAAGCACCTGCTTCCGCTGGATCCGGAGGGAAAGCATCTGTACGACAAGATCAAGGATGGTATCCTGCTGTGCAAGATCATCAACCACTCGTGCCCGGACACGATCGACGAGCGAGCGATCAACAAGAAGAACCTCACCGTGTACACCAAATTCGAAAATCTGACACTGGCTCTGGTATCGTCGCAGGCCATCGGTTGCAACATTGTCAACATTGACGCGCACGATCTGGCCAAGGGCAAACCCCATCTGGTACTGGGTCTGCTGTGGCAAATCATCCGTATCGGTCTATTCAGCCATATTACGCTCGACAGCTGCCCGGGTTTGGCAACTCTCCTGGCCGATGGCGAACGCCTTGAAGACCTAATGAAACTCTCACCAGAAGCCATCCTGCTACGGTGGGTCAACCATCATCTGGAGCGAGCCGGAATCGCTCGTCGTTGCACCAATTTCCAGAGCGACATCTCCGACTCGGAGGTGTACAGCTATCTGCTGAACCAGATTGGCCCAAAGGATGCTGGTGTTACGCTGGAAGCACTCAGGGTAAGTTAACCCCCACATTCGCACAGCATTCAACAGAACAATCTAAGTCCCGTTTCACCCTTTCTTAGGAACAAAACGCCTTAAACCGCGCCGAGGTCATGCTGCAGCAGGCAGCCAAGCTGAACTGCCGTTCCTTCGTTACGCCACAGGACGTTGTCAACGGTGTCTACAAGCTGAACGTGGCCTTCGTTGCCAATCTGTTCAACATCCACCCAGGGCTGGACCAACCGGACGAGATCGAAGGTCTCGAAGCGATCGAGGAGACCCGCGAGGAGAAGAGTATGTATCGCATCATCCGCTAGTCTTTCCAGCTAATTCTAATCGTGTTCCCCTACCGCCACAGCATACCGCAACTGGATGAACTCGATGGGCGTCAAACCGCACGTCAACTGGCTCTACTCGGACATGGCCGATGGTCTCATCCTCTTCCAGCTGTACGACATCATCCAGCCGGGAATCGTCAACTGGAAAAAGGTCCACCAGAAGTTTACACCGCTGCGTAAGTTTATGGAGAAGCTGGAAAACTGCAACTACGCCGTCGAGCTAGGTAAAAAGCTCAAGTTCTCTCTCGTCGGCATCGCCGGGCAGGATCTGAGCGATGGAAATGCCACCCTCACACTCGGTAAGTGTCATCATGTTACCCTCCCAACCATATCCACTAACATACAACGAATGTGATTCTGTTCTGCAGCCCTCATCTGGCAACTGATGCGAGCCTACACCCTGTCCATTCTGTCCCGCCTGGCCAACACCGGAAATCCCATCATCGAGAAGGAAATCGTCCAGTGGGTCAATTCCAAGCTGCAGAACGCCGGCAAGAGCACCAGCCTGAGGAACTTCCAGGATGGGTCCATTTCCGATGGCAAAGTCGTCATCGATCTAATCGATGCCATCAAACCGGGCAGCATCAATTACGATAATGTCAAGGATGGCGGAAATGCGGAGGTGAGTTGCGATATTCTTTTTTAGGCATTTCGGCTAAAACTACTGGGGAAGAGCCAACAAAATACGAACGTAATCGAATCTATCATGCAGGAGTGATGAATCATTGCCACGCGTTCAGCCCGCCGTTTGAGAGGTGCTTTGGGTAACTCACGCTCTCGAATACGATGAGATTGAGTTACCTTCCTACAATTTTCCCCCGCTGTGAAGTGAGCTCATGCTCTCTCTCTCTCTCGCACTTCGCTCTCTACTTCTATTTTCGTCGCTCGCTTTGGTGTCGATAATGAAGAATCACTTATATCCATGCATTGTCGATTCTCGTTCGAGTGTGGCATGCTGCAGTCCATAGGGTGAGCTATAATTATCGCTTGCCTGAAGCATTCTATTTCCGTTCTTTCCTCAGCGGGAAGCAACATTTAGGAGAGCGTGGGGTGTGCAATACACGGTTGAATCAAAGTGGAGCAAATGTAGAGTTTCTTTTTGATATTCCATTCGCGTCATTTCGAATGTTCTCAAGATTAGATTATAATAGATTTCGTTATTAAAGAGGCTTTCAGCCGTGGGCTGGTTCGCCTCTAGAATGTTCTCAAGCACATCGCAAAGTGACAGTTTCTCTTTTGATTACCACGGCTATGCAAAGAGGTGCTATTTTTGGCACATAATTTGATAAAGGAAACTATATTCTAGCGCCGAAAACATCAAACGCACCTGTCATGGTAAATTTAGAACTAGTATTCACTGATTTTTTTAGAATCTATGCGCCTCCTTTCAATAATTGTGATATAGTATTGTATAGCTGCATGAATACACAATTTAGTTCCCTCTAAATAACAGTGGGAACTTGTCTACAATTAGCTCGCAAAAAGTCTTGAAAATACTAAAGCTACAGACCAGCACAGTTTATCTAGCTTCTAATGTAATCGATTAACATATCTGTGACTGCCGAACTGTGTACAGTCAAAGTGTACAGATTATCTGTGAATGTGTGATCATGGTCTGTTGACAAATTCTTGCTAACTGTACAGACAATTTTGTCTGTTTCTGCAATTGTTCTGCAGAACTTGTCTGTCGGAGATATTTTGACATTCGGCAGTTTGTTTACTTTATTTTCAGTGTTCGTTTTGGATGGTTTGGATCAGAAAGCATTTGGTTGTGTGATCAAAAGCGACGATTGAGGTGAAAATTCAAGCATTGAGTCAAAAACTGCCATGCATTATAGTCGAACATAAGTGCTCGAATGGGGAAACCTTACATTACATTACCGGAATTCTATCACTCAAATTGGAAACAAATTTTTCAAACTTAAATCGCTCTTCCGTTCACTGTCAACCATTAAACTGTTAAACTCGCAGATTGTCTTCCAATGTGATCACGGACTACATAATTTTATCTAGCCTTACAGTGTCATCAACATGCTTAAAAAGTCTGTAACATTCAAAGGAAATTACTGAAAAACATATTGTCTGCCAACTTTGACTGTGCCAGACACTAAAACCTAAAACTTGTAGGTAGTGTTCAAATTTTCAACAGCCAAATATTGACAAGTCTGAGGCAGACAAACTACGACAGAGAAACTGACTAGTCTGATCGTATCTTAACAGAGAAGAGCGCCATTCACTGCCATGCAGTTTTCCAGCTGTTCATGTAATAGTATTGAAGATCCCGGAATTTTCCTGAAGTTCTTGGAAGTACTCTGAAATTCCCGTAATTAAAAATCTCTAAAGTTTCATTAATTTCTCAAAGTTCCCACAATTTCCTGGAGTTAATAGAACTGGCTTAAAAATTCTTTCCATGTTTTCAAAACTCCCCTGATACTCACGGAACTTCCCTTAAAATTGTGTACTTCCCTGAACTTCTCTGGACTTACCTAAAGTTCCCTGAATGATCATGGATTTTCTCTAAAATTAGGAAGTTTCAGAAGCTTGATCAATTTCCAAGTAGTTCTCGAAACTTTTTCGAAATGTTTGTAATTTCCCTAAAATAATAGAACTGCCCTGGGGTCTTCCCTGAAGTACTCTGAGCTTCTCTCAAATTCTTCCTATTTTCCTGAAGCTTTTGGTACTACCCTGAATTTAATAGAAATATCCAAAGAATCCCTTATCTTCCTTGAAAATCCCTTGAAAACTTCTGTGAGGTTCTCAAAACATATCTTTACTTTTCTAAGAAGCCTCTCTGAAGTTTTCAGAATTTCTTGAAAAATTGGGAACTTGTCAGAATTTTCCGCAATTTTCCTTGAATTAACAGAACTGTAATGATCTTCCCTGAGGTTCCCATAAATCTTGAAACTACCCTGAAGCTTAGATTTGAAATGCTCTCGCATTTTTCTAATATTCATTAAACTTTCCTTGAGTTACTGATCCCCAAAATTCTGAACTTCTATGAAGTTTTCGGAGTTTTCTTGAAGTTCTTTGGTGATCTGTGAAGTTCTCAAGATTTCAAGAAATTTCAAGAACTTTCCTGGAATAATTTGGAATTCTCACAAATTTCAATGATGTAGTTTTTTGATTTTATATGAAGTTCTCGAATTATTTTCTGAAGTTCGTGGATCTGCCCTTAAATTATCGAAAGTAATTCTTGAACATTTTAAAACTTCCCCAAAGTTGTGGACATTCCTAATATTTAGCTTGCTTTCCTGATGTTATTAAAACTGCCCATAAGATCTCTGATCTTCACTAAGACTTTCCTGAACCTCACAGTATTTATTTAGAAGTTCCCGCAATTTCGCGCGATTTACCTGTAGTATTGAAAATTTATTTGAAACTCGTGGAACTTCCCCTAAAATCTCTTATTTTACCTGAACTTTTCTGGACTTCCCTGAAGTTGTTGGTACTTCTTTAAAGTTGCCTATATGTTCTAATCTTCCCTAAAAACTCTCAAATGTTCCTGAAGTTCTATGAAATTTTAATATTTCAACGGAACTTCTTGAAAGCTACAGCATTTTTTCTAAAGATAATGGGACTCCTCGGAAGTTCTCTGTGCAAGTTCTCGAAACTTCCCTGAATATAACGAAATTTAATATCTAACTTTCTTGAAAATTTAGAAACATGCTGCCTTGAAGTTCTCTAAACTTCATTGAAGTTCCCGCAATTTTTTGAAGTTCTCGAAACTGCCATGAAAATCACGGAGCGTCCCTTAAAATGATCTCACATTATCCTGATGTTCTGGTAACTTCCCACAGGTTTCTGGAACAACATCAAAGTTCCATCAATTTCCTTGAAATTAATAGAACTGCCCTTAGCGAGGTTCTCAGAGCCTCCCTGAAGTTCTCTCAATTCTGCTGAAATTTTCTCAATTCTCTTGAAGTTCTTCGTACGGTCCTGGAATAGATGGAAATATCCTGAAAACCTTCTCTGAAATGTTATGATTCCGAAATATTATTAATGATTTCTTAAGTTTTTTGGACATTCTTGAACTTCTCGAATCTTCTTGCTAATGGACCTGTATGGAATTGAGTGGAACCTACCCTTACTGATGCGGACTTTCATAAAGTCTTTGGAACTTCCATAAAAACAATGGAACCTTCTTATGATCCCTATGATATTCCTGAAATTGTCCTGAAACTAATGGATTGCCCTTAGGTTCTCTGATCTGTACTGGTGTTTTCAGAGCTTCCCTGAAGTTTTCTAAATTCTACTGAAGTTCTTCGTATAGTCCTGAAATAAATGGAACTGTTCTGAAAACCTTTAAACTACCCTGAAGTACGGAGGCGAACCAGCCTCAGGCTGAAAGCCTCTCTAATGAAGGAAACTTAATTTAAATTAAACAGAGGTTCTCTGAACTTTTGTGATTCCAAAATACTACTGACGATTTCTTAAGTTCTTTGGACATTCAGGAAATTCCCGAATTTTCCTAAGGGTTCTCGAAATTTTACAGAAGCTACAGACCTGTCATGAATTTTGTGGAAACTACCCTTCTGATGCGGAATTTCATGAAGTCTTCCCTAAAATGATTGAAACTTCTTACGATCTCTGTAAACCCCTTACGATCTCTGAAAATTCGTTAAGATATCTGCACCTTATTTGAAGATTCAACAATTTTCTTAGAACTCTCTGCATCTTTAAAATTTTCTGCATAACCCTGAAGTTCTTAAAATTTCTTCAAAGTTCCTGCAGTTTTTCAGAAGCTAATGGAAACGGCTTGAAGCTCTGAACTGCCCAAATGTTCTGAAAGTTTTCGGAACTTCCCTTATGTTCCCGTAATTTGTTTATGAAACTTCCCTAAAATTCTCGGCACTTCCTTACATTCCTCAGAACTTAAAAATTTATACAATTTTTGTGAAGTTAATAGGACTACCTTAACGATCTCTAATCTTTCTTCATACTCACGGAACTTCCCTGAAGTTCTTGGTATTCTCGTGATCATGTTCCTGAAATTGTCCTGAAACTATTGGAACTGCCCTTAGGTTCTCTGATCTGTCCTGGTGTTTTAAGAGCTTCCCTGAAGTTCTTTCACTTCTCCTGAAGTTCTTCGTATGGTCCTGAAATAAATGGAACTATTCTGAAAACCCTCAAACTAGTCTAAAGTTCTCTAGACATCTGTGATTCCGAAATGTTACTGATGATTTCCTAAGTTCTTTGGGACATTCCTAAAACTCCCGAATCTTCCTAAGGGTTCTCTACATTTTCCAGAGGCAAATGGTCCTGTCTTAAATGTAGTGGAATCTATCCTTACTGATGCGGACTTTCATAAAGTCTTTGGAACCTTCTTATGATCTCTGAAAATCCCTTACGATCCCTAGGCCTACGTTCTCTGAACAACTTGGAACTTCTTTGCAATTTTGCTAATATTCAAGCAACTGCCCCAGAGATAGGACAGTTATCCTTTTATGGCCAGTGTAGTATAAGTACAGCCTAATCACTTGAATGCTCTAGGCCAGTGTTTTTTTTACCGAACTCAGAGGACCACTAAATTGCTATGCCATATACACTATCCGTCATAAGTATGGAATGCAACACTCTTTTCAATATTACATCACCTTGAAAAGTTTAGCATCATCCAACAGG